GCCTGCTCATGTCATAATCCTCCTGGCAGCCCCCTTTCCCTCCAACTGCTTGAGAACCCAAGCTCGGTCATGAGACTCCCTACTCAGAGTCACTTAACTAATAGGTGGCAAACTCAGAAATGCAACCAGAGTTATCTGCCTCCAGATTCTATACTTTCAGCAAATAATTGAGGACTGAGAAGGAGAGAGCAGAAAAGAAACCTTAAGAGGGTGGAGGCCAGCTCTGGCCCCTCCATTTAATACGTTCACCTGTCCCCCGTCCTGGAGGGCACAGCCCCCCCGCACCCCGTTGCCTGCTCCACTTTTTCTTCTATCCACAGCCCTTCACCCCACACTACATAATGTGATGCTTATAATGGTAACAGTGTTTTCTCTGTCTCCTCCCACAAGACTGCAAACTCGAGGAGGACAGGCCTCTCTCAGCAAGCATTTTCAGAGATGAGAGTGGTGCCTGCCAGTCTTGGGCCCTCAAAACATGTCACAGGTGAATGAATTTTTCATGTGTCAGGACACAGTCAATATAAGAGAAGGTCAAGATAGCTTGGCATGAGGCTCTGTGAACATAGTGCTAGAACAATCACGTATTCTTTGGCTCTAGCGATTTGTCGAGGAGGACAACAGGGCCTATGCCTTCCTACCTTTGGGGCTCCCTGAGCACTAGGAAATAAAGATATTCCTAACCCAAGGAGGAAACGAAGTTGAGGATTCAAAATACTGTCACCCATACTTCTAAGGGTGATAAGGGAGGAGGAAGGCTAGAGACGACGGAGGCCAGAGTGAGATTCCATAGTCTTGGTCCTGTGTAAAGGCAGTTTCTCAGCACAATTTGCATTCCTTTAGTCGTTTAACAACGGACATGCTGAGACCCCACTACTACACACTGGGATTTGCAAACCTGTTTCAGAGCTGGCGATACCAGGAAGAATAAATGATAGGAAGTTAGCCTGGTTACACACACACACACACACACACCATGAGCCCCTTAGCTTAGGATCACATTTTGGTTTAGGGTGAGGGCCAGGGCCTGAAAATGATGGACCCATCCAGCTTCCAGGACAATTAGAAGCTTCAAAGAGCCAATGATTATTTTTGAAAGAAGAAAATTGAAACCAAGACGCCTTCAAGATGGCTCACTGCTTCCCCCTAGTGGATGTCAGTAGCAGGCACAGCATTCGGGTTTCCCCATTTCCTTCAATAGAGGGGGAGGGGGGATCTTGGAGAGGCGAGGTTCATATTGGACCCCACCTTGGGAAGGTCACAGCCAGACCAGGGAGTCAGACAAGGAAGCTGACGTCACTACAAGGCTGCTCGGCTGGTGGTAAAGCATATCCTCATTCACTCTCAGCGGGACTGTAGCACAGTCAGAAGCTGGGCTTGAGGGGAAGCAGGGATTCTCCTGGAGGACAAGGAGGGGGGGACCCCAGGGCGGGGTGAGTCCAGAGATGTGAAGTCCACACCTGGTCTAGGAGTCCTGACATAATGACTAGGTTTACTGGGCATATCGGGCTAAGGAAACCAAAGCCCGAGAGCTTTGCAACCCGGGCCCTGAAGCCACAGGTCAGCCCTGACGGACCACACGCACAGGAGGGTGAGTCCCACTATGTGCCAGAGGCTGAGTGGGGCATAAAATGGCGAGCAGAAATAGGCACGGCCCTGCCCTCTTGCAGCTTGTAGTACCATGGGAGAGAGAGGCCCCCTGGGCCATCCCCAGCCACTTTGTTCTCAGGGTGCTGGGGTTCCTGCTGGTCACCTACAACGTGGAGGCGGGCAGGGGGCCTCTCCCAGGGCAAATGCTCTGGTATGAGACATACAGGGGCCAGCAGTTGGACATGAAGGCCACATTAGCACGATCAGCAGAAAGTGGAGAAAGAATAGGGACTAGAGACAGCGCTTTGATCAGTGGGAAGGATGGAGCCCCCCAAGCAATGGCCCCTCCAGGTTACTCGGCCCTAGCTTGCACCAGATGATGATGCACCCCACGCTTACATGCTCCACATACTCGCTCTCTGGACCTGCCCTTGCATCAGGCTGCACTGTTCAGGTGAACCGAGGCCTCTCTCCCGTGGACTCAGTATTTGTTCTCTCAAGGTGCCACTCTGATGCTGCTGCTGCCACGATGAGTGACACCCCCAAAGTCTGAATTACAATTAAAATGTGAAATGCGGTGCCGCTCCATACAGGAAGAGCAGGAGTGCAATCAGGGTCGTTGGCACTGAGCCGCCGTCCTTTATGAGGATGTCTGAGCTGAGCGGCTTCCCTGTGGACCCCCGGGCTCGGCGCTGTGGGGACTGGGCGGAGAACTGGGCCTCTGGGTCCCTGCGGCTCCGAGGCTGACATCTGCGGCCGGACATACGAGACCTCAGCTGCCGGGACAGGTGGGAAGTAAGCCTTGGGGGAACACTGGGATCCAGGCTTTTCAGCTCATGGTGCACACTCCATAAGTGAAGTGCGAGCGGGGGCTTGGTAAATGATACAGAACAAAACAGAAATGGTTTAGGCCCCTCCCTGGTGGCTCAGCAGGTTAAAGCACAGCACTGAGAAGCTAAAGCCGCTTCCGCATGAGTTTGATCCCCGCCTGCCCCGGAGGTGACCACATGGCGCGGCAGACCTCTCCTGACCCGCCCGCTGCTCCCCTCTGCAGTGTACTTCGTCCATCTGCCTGTTCTGCTCTCTGCTCTGTCTCTGGTGAATCCTCTCACCACCCCCGCACCTCTGGCCTGTACCCCAGTTCTGTTTGCATAAATAAATAAATCTTTTTTAAAAAATGGTTTAAATGGTTTAAATGTATCATAGTAAGAATGACTGTTGCCAGACAATTAGGCTGTGTGTATATACATGTGTGTATAGATGTGTGTGTATAGATGTGTATACCTGTGTGTATGTGTACTGTGTACCTGCGGATTGTGGGCAAGACTGTGTGTGCACATGCCTATGTGTGTTGTGTACAAGGGTTGTGCATGTGTGCATATTGTGCGTGTGTGAGCTGTGTAGAGGGATGTGTGCATGTGTGTTGTGTACAAAGCCATGTGTGCGCATATGTATTTATACAAGGCTGTGTGTTTTGCATGTAAAGGTGTGTGTGTTGTATGCATGCATGTGTGTGAGTGGTATGCATATTGTGTGCACGCATGCGTGTGTTTGCCTGTTTTGTTGCATGCCCACATGCAGTGTGTGTTGAGCATATGTGTGTTTGTGTGTACAAAGCTGCAATACAAATTGTTTCATGGGTGATGGTCAAAACATTTGAAAAACCCCAATTGAAAAACAGTTGAGAGCAAACCGGGTTGAGGGCCTGGTCCCTCAGGACAGTACCAGGGACAGCCGCTAGTGGGCGCGAGGCTGACAAAAATGTCTCTCATCTCTACTTTCAAGGGTTTTGTCCCCCTGAACAGCAAGACTGGTGAGTAGGCACAAACTCCGCGAGGCAAAGGAGAGCCCCTCACATGCTCACGCTCACGTGTTTCGGGGAGGAGCTGGAGGAAGGCGAGAGGCATACGGCGGCCGGCACGTTTGGAAGGCAGTCAGTCTTTATGCAAACGCCAAGGAGCCCTATGCAGTAACACTAAAGAAATCGCCAACTCAGCGCTCTTCACGGTGGCACTGCTGATAGTGAAGAAATGAGAACACGACCTCAATGTCTACAAACAGGCGTCTGGTTGAATAAATAAAAGGTGGTGGTAAAACGAGGCGAGCCATTCACTGTCAGAGGCGTTGATGACATACAGAGGGGCTTGGTGGGAGTTTTGAAAACTGTCGCCCTGAAAGCGGAGGAAGTCACCTCGGAGCAGATTTTTGTCGTGTTGAGTGGCTGAGAGGCCCCTCTTGGCCAAGCACGAGTTAGGTGAGTCAAAGCATTGGACGAAAGAATAACATGACCTTTAGTCAGCTGGGGGTGAGTCCCTTACCCCCAGGGAGAGACACTTGGCGTGACAGGGGTTGGGGCAGGGGGTTGCTGCCCTCTAGTGGGAAGCTGCTACTGAACATCTTTCGGGGCGAGGATACCCCCAGACTCGAGGGCTTTCATCTGGATCAGCTAGGAAGCACCGTAACAGAGGGGCGTGCGTGTGGATTCCGGGCCAATGGCCTATTCAAATATATTCTGCTCTGTTCCCGCCTGTACCCTCAACATTGCTAACGGAAAGTCACTCAATTGTTGAAAAATATTTATTCAGTGCTGCACGTTGAATCAAGCCAGGGCTTCTGGCTGTTGCTCAACAGTGACGCCTTGCGGCGATAACTGAAATAACTACGTGGACCAGGAATGCTTTGCTTTGCCGGGCTGACCCCTTAGGACGGAAAAGGACCCCAGAATTTGTGGGAAAATCGTGGGGCTGGAGAGAAGCCAGAAGAGGACGATATTTGATGTCCTGATAAGAAAGGCAAACAGAGGTTTGAGCAACGAATGAGAACGAGGGAAGAGAGATGATGTTTTCGGATCCCAAACAAGTATAAACAAGACGCCGAGGTCATTTTGTTGTGACAAACAACCCCCAAGCCCACCAGGTGTCCAGTCATATGTACGGGTAAGCCTAATTCTATTGTTTAGAGAGATTATACGCATGCCCACATGCCAGAAGTCAGACCAAAAATCAGAGCAAGATGACAGCGGAAGGAGGGTGGGCTGGAGGAATTATTTCTTCATCTACTTCATGGTTTATTTTATGAATGTATATTGCTTACGTAAAAAACAAGTTAGACGTCCACCCAAAGGCCCTTCAGATACATAAGAAAAGAAAAAAAGAAAAAAAAAACCCTACACACGTCCAACACATATATCTGGACCCTAATTCTCCGACCTCAGATACCCGTTGGGCAAGAGCTCCCGGAAGCAGCCCTGACCACTTCTGGCTTCCAAGCCCCAGGCCCCTGTCTCCTCCGATGGTGAGCGGGATTTGGCGCCCGGAGTGACCCCGTCCAGTCCTGGCCTGCAGCTGCAGGCGCAGGCATCGGCAGGAACGCGGATGCGCTGGGACGAGCCTGCACCCTCCCCCGTCGCTCACCTGACATGTGGACATTCCGGAGGCAGGTGAGAGAGGCATTGAGGCGGGCACACTCCTCCCTGTTGGCTCCGTACTTCTCCACGGTCTCACACACCTGCTCATCCGTCATCTCCAAGAGGTCCTCCAGACTCAGCTGGCCAGGGGTGATCTCCTGGGGGAGGGGAGGGAGGCAGGTAAGCGCACGCGCGCCCTCTAGGGGTGGCCAGGGGCGCCTGCACTGTGGGGCTAGGTGCTGGTTGTGCCTGGGAGTCCCGGCAGATGCCCTCAGCTTTGGCACTCCTTAGCTAGGTGACTTGGGGGGAAAACGCTTAACCTCTGCGAACCTCACTCTACTTGCCTGCAGAATGGGGGTCTTAAGGGCACATGCTTTTAAGTCACACCTGTGCTCAGCACAAAGTCAGCACCCCCTGCCAGCGGAAGTTATCTGTACCCACCTCCCAGCCTCCGGCTCTGCTTAACTCCTAACCCGCAAGGCTCCACTCTGTGCTCTGTGGGCGGCTGCGTCTCCTGCTCAGCTTATAACTGCAGCTTGTACGGGTCCCAAATCAGGGGGAGCTCGAAGCGGAACGCACTGGGCAGCCCAAGAGCCCCTTCCCCCATAGCTGTCTGCCACTTGGCTTCCCTCTTCTCAGTCACAGACCTAGGGTTCATCTTGGGGCTTCAGGAACCCTAAGGGGAAAGGATCTGGAACACTCCACTGGGTACAGAGAGCCTGTGACTGCATCCTGAAGTAAAGCAGTAAGGCTGGGGTATAGCATGGAGGGGAGGAAGAGACAACTCCGAAAAGACAGGTGGGAACAGAAGACGAGGACCCCCGTTGTAAATGCCTGGGGCAGACGCTCCTTCACCACCAGCAGCAAAAATTCCCCCTTTCCTGAAATGATGTGTCCATAGACACGATAATATGGCTGTGTCTTCAAATCTCTTGGGCTTCTAATTTATGCATCTCAAGAACAGAGATTTCCTTTTATAGCATGGAGTGGTATCCAGCGTTTTTTGTTTTTTCTTTTTTTACATTTATTATGTTTTTCTTTTATAAATACATATTTTTACATCATTCTTCATTTTTTACATTTTTCCATCTCAGCTGTAACCCCCGTGGACTTCCCACCACCACGTCCCCCAGTGCCATCACCACAGTCCCGTGTGCTCTTCCCGCCCTTTTCTATTTTATTAAAATTACCATATATATGTATATATATTTCTTGATCCTTTGCACTCCTCCTATGAGGAATAAGCATGATCTTTTCCAGCTCCATTCATGTTGCCGCATATGGTACGAGTTTACCTTTTTTGATAGCTGAGTAATATTCCATTGTGTATATGTACCACATATTTTTTATCAAGTTGTCTATTTTTGGGCATTTGGGTCGTTTTCACAGCTTCCCTATTGTAAATAGGGCAGCAATAAACATAGAGTTGCAGGTGTCCTTTTGAATTATTATTTTTGTGTCCTTTGGGTAGATACCTAGGAGTGGAATTGCTGGATCATATGGAAGCTCCATTTTTTTTTTTTTTTAGCAGTTTGAGAATCCTCTATACAGCTTTCCATAGTTGTTGCATATTATTATCTTAAAGAGAATGTTAGGCACCGGGATTTGGGGGCACTAGTGTGGGATACATCTGCCCTCTTGTGGTCACAAATGTGTATTACAACAAAATCAGTAGGCGTCCACCCAATCTCTTATTAAACTGGCAGCCAGAACCAGGCAAACGACAACACAACTCATCCTATAGTCATCCATGTGGAGGTGGGGGATGGGCGGAGACTTAGTGAAAAGGCAAAAATCAAGCCAGTGCCTTGGGCTCCAGAATCTCACGGACCAAGGTGTGAGCAAAGTTTGCCAACAGCTGACACTTAAATGTGAACGAATATATTTTTAGTTATTTTGCCCATTTTTGGACTGGGTTGTTTGCTTTGTTTTCGTTGGGTTGTATAAGTTCTTTGTGGACTTTAAAGAACTGCAAATGGCCAACAGGCATGTGAAAGAATGCTCAAGGTCACTAATGATCAGGGAAATGCAAAGCAACCCCACAAGGAGATACCACCTCACTCCAACGGGAACCACCCACATTAAAACACACACACACACACACACAACGGGAAACAAATAATGCTGGTGAGGAGGTGGAGCTGAAGGCCCCTCCCCCACTGCTGGTGGGAATGCAACTGGCCCCGCCATTATGGGGACCTGCAAATGGACCCAGCTATGACCCAGCGATTCCATGCCTAGGGATTTACCCAAAGGGCACAGAAACCCTAATTCAAAAGGAAACCTGCACCCTGGTGTTTCCTACAGCACTGTTGGGAACCCAGCACCCAAATGCCCCCAAATAGAAGAATGGGTCAAAAAGGGTCAAAAAGTGGTGGTGTGTTTATATAATGAGCTGCTTATTCAGTGATCAAAAAAAAAAAAGAAGAATTTTTTTAGGGGCCAGTCTGGGCTGGGGGGAGGGGCCAGTTTATAAGGAGCACCTCACTTGACCAGCCGCTTTAGAAGGGACAACCCTAAGCCCGCTGACAGGAGAACAGCAATGCCCTGAGAGCTGTGTCCACCACGGCGGCCACGGGTATACTCACTGACATGGACCACAACACGGTTGCCTTCTTCCGGCGCAGCGCTGACCCCCGGCTAAGGGCTGGGGTCCTGAGAGCGCAGAGGTAACCTATTCCCACCACAGGAGGAGATTCTGCAGGACAGCACTGCTCCAGGGCATATACAGTGACCTGGCCACGGGGCCGGAGTTGGTATGTGGCAGCTGAGAGACCCTGACTAGGACGCATCAGACTCCTGCCTTCTTCCGGGGCAGATTTACTGGGCGCCAACTGTGTGCTAGGCACAACCCCCAAACCACCGACCCAGGGGCTGGCAGGGAGCCGGTAAGGAGCGGGGGCGGGGGGTGGGAGGGGGTCGCGAAGCGGTCACCTCCAGGACTTCCTTGCGCACGTCCACGATCCGGAACCAGTGCCGCAGCTGGGGGAAGCCTTCCAGCTCGGCGTTGCGCTCCTGCAGAGCCACCTTCTTTTTGCAGGACAGCTGCCGGCTGAAGTACTTCACCAGCTTACTCTGCGGGGACACAGAGGACAATGGGGTCAGTCTCAGGCACGGCAGTGAGCAGAGCAAGAATCCCCCACTGTGCCCTCCCAGCCCGAACCCCATCCAACTGAGAGCAGGAAAGAGGGGTCTACTCAGTGAGAGGCTCGCACTGACCCCACAGCCCTGGTGGGGGGCCGGGGGTGGGGGGGGAGGTTTGGAAGTTTTCTGTCACCTTTCCACGTGGGAGCCTACAGTACCCCACTTATGGGGACTTATAGACACCCCGCGTCTGCAAAACAGCTGCATAACAGTTGTTCTTACAGCTTTTATTATTATTTCAAGGCAAAGGATGACAAAGTCTTCGCGGGTCCCTCAGTGGGCGGTAAACGAAGGTGCATGTACAGAATGAAGCCATGCAGTTATGAAATTAAAACGAGGACGCATGCTACAGATTTAAAACAGGACTGCCTCCAAGATGTGATAATCAATAAAAATAACTACCCCTCTCTCTTCTGTGTGGGGAACGTGTACATTTCGGTAGAGTGGTAAATACAGAGGCTTAGATTCTCCCGCTCCCGGCTCCAGGGAAGGGAAGCAGGAAGGGGGGTGGAGAAACGTTTTATTTAGACCCTTTGGTAGCATTTGGATTTTCAGTCACAAGTAATTGTTCACAAAGTAACACATAGACTGTTCAAATGAGATGGACCAGACCCAGGCTTCTGGAGGGTTGCCAGGATGGGAGAAAGTTTTTTGGCCTCTTGTTTACAAACATTTTGCAACATTAACAAAAGAAAGTCTTTACAGGACTCAGAGCTGAAAAAGGGAGATACCTCCAGGCAACTGGCTTGAGCGGGAGACAGGGTGAGAAAAGTGGTTGTGTTTTTTTATATATATTTGCTTTGCTCCATAGTTACTCAAAGCAAATGATCACACTTGTAATTTGACGTATCTCTAATTCTTAGATATATATGGAGGCGTGGAGCTGAAACTGCCATACTGTACACCAATGATGTCAATAAAATGTATTTAAAAGTAAAGTCATTAAGTGAAAAAAAAATAAAATCCACTTATATGTAAAAGCCGTTAGCAGTTCAAAGCACTGTCAACCAACACTGAAGAAAAAGACTGTTCTAGAATTCTAGGACCACAGAATTCAGAGTGGGGGTGAGAGGGTCATGGGCAGCTGTTGCGTCTGTCCAGCCGATCTCCAGTGCAAGTTTTCCTGAAAAGCCCATTCAACGCAGCTCTCTTAGAGCACCTTTCTTAGGCTGGCAGCACACCTGGCTCAGGTGAGGCTGGTCCCACACCACACACCCATACCTGGGCTACAGGGAGAGCATGTACCCAGCCTGGGTGCACAGGGAGCCAGTCTGGGCCCCAGACCTCCCAGCCACTGCTCCCAAGCGTTCCTAAGACAGAAGTCACCTGGGGTGTCCCAGGAGCCAGAAGCTACCATCAGGAGCGCCTGAGACTCAAGCCTATTCAGAAGGAAGCCAGAGCCACGAGAAGGAGCTGCCTTCCTGACTACACCTGGTATTTAGATTCCCCTGCAAGGAAGTCACACTTCTTTGCAGTGATGTATGACAAGTCACTCTTTTGTTGCTTAAGCAGAAGAAGGGAGCTGGGTTTTGCTGCTGAAGCATCTTAATGCATGGAGAAGTTGAAGGGCATCTGGTCCACCCTTCTGTAGTGTCTCTTGACATCCTGTTGCCTCATTTCTTACAGAGCAATAACAAATCACTGCAAATACAGAAGCTTAAAATAAGACAGATATATGATCTGATGGTTTTGCAAGTCAAAAATCCAAAGTTAGTCTTACTGGGCTCAAGCCAAGACACTGGCAGGACAGGTTGCTCTGGAAGGCCCAGGGAGAATCCACTTTCTTGTTTTTGCTGTTTCTAGAAGTTGCCCACCTTCCTGGGCAGAAGCCCCCTTACTCCAACCTTTTGCTTCTGTTGTCACAACTTCTGACTCTGACCCCCTGCCTGCCTCTTCTGAGGACCCTCTCAGGATGACACTGGCTCCACCCAAACACCCAGGATAGTCACCCATCTAATGATCCTTAGCTCAGCCACATCTGAAACCATGTTATTCAGTCACATCTTTACAGGACTCAGAGCTGGACATATCTGGGGATGGTTATTTGGCATGTGCATTTACATCCAGGGGCTGGTAGTGTTAAGGGGAAGGATGTCCTGAAGGAGCTCTGCAGTCTTATGGACTCCACCCCCTACTCCAGCTTTCTGGACTCTATCCCCTACTCCAGTGGTTGGAAACTACAACTCCCAGCAGCCCCAGGGAGAGAACTGCAAGGACCCAAGGGTGGAGCTAGCAGGAATTCTGGGACATAGGGGGATAAATAGGGCATGATTGTCTGTCTGTCTCTCTCTCTCTCTCTCTCTCTCTTGCTCAGGTAGCGGCTCTCTTGCTCGGGTAACGGCTCTCCAGCTCAGTAACGGCTCTCCAGATCCCGTGACTCAGTGTTTTCAGTCAGCGGAGCTGTTAAGGCACTCCAGTTACTTTGCATCCTGCTCGCTTTCCCTGAGTTGTTTCCTGTTCCTTCTCCCTTTTGTAAATAAACCCATTATTGACCCTTTTGTGTATCCCTGCAGTATAACTGAGTTTTGAGCGTGTGGGTGAGGCCCCACAGACAGGCGGCCCAGTCCACTCTGGGCCACCCTGTAACAGTAGGACCTTCTTCCCCAGAAAGTCACAGGGCAGGTGCTGTTCCAGAGCCTTCTTCTGGCTTCTGTTCCTGTCTGCGCAGGGTCGGCACAGTCTTCACAGCCTTCTCTCCATATGCGTGTCCCTGCCCTTACTTCCCCTGCTTAAGATGACCTAGTCCTGTTGTGCTTAGCAGCTCACCCTGCTCTGGTATAACCTCACTTGAATTAATTCCATCCTGTTCCCAAATAAGGTCCCATTCTGGGAGTTGGGACTTCAACATATGCATTTGTGAGAAACTTAATTCAGTCAATGAAACAGATCTTTGGGAAACACCAAGCCATCAGTAACTGTGAACATCTGATGTCTGTCTGGAAGGATGTCTGCATTCACCCTGGCTCCTGGCAGGGGCCACATGTCCCATCTCAGGGCATGTGGAGGGGCCACGGCTGGCTGGGTGGCAAGACCTTTAAACAGAAGTCACCAGGGACAAACAGCAGTGTTTCACCATCTGCTTGTCTATCGGTTTCCAGCACGTAAAGCCCACTAGTCCATCAGGTCGTAACCTTCATTTGTTTTCCTTGGCTTTCCAGGGGGTGCTTTGGGGGAACATAAGCCTGGTTTGGCCTAAAAGCCCCCAACAAGAGTTGTCTTTAATCTTGAATTGCCAGTGAAGCACCAAATCCTATATCCAGGCTCATGTCCAGTTCTGTTCTGATTTCACACATTAAGAAGTAGACAGAAGGCCAGCCACTATGGAAAGCTCTATGGAGGTTCCCCAGTCCAGCAATTCCACTCCTAGGGATCTACCTAAAGGACACAAAATCATTAACATAAAAGAAAACATGCACCCCTGTGTCTACGGCAGTACTACTTATAACAGTCAACACAAATGCCTAAAAATAGATGTCTGATCAAGAAAATGTGCTATATATGCACAGCGGAATACTACTCAGCAATCAAAAAGATAAACTCGTGCCATTTGCAGCAACAGGGAGGGAGCTAGAAGGGATTATGCTCAGTGAAATAAGTCAGAAGGAAAAAGAAAAATACCAGAGGTTTTCACTTATAGGAGGAATAGAGAGGACCTGGGGGGCAGGGGACAAAAAATAAATAGACAACTATAAGTGAGAGATACTCTTCAGGAGAGGGGTGGGAAAGGGATCAAAGTAGAGGGACTACGGGGGTGGTGAATTGGTGGTGGGAATTCTGTGGGGACGACACCTGAGGAAAGAAAGCAAACAGTGTGCAAAAATGAACAATGATGTAAAATAGATACAAATAAATAAATAACCCATTTAAAATTTTAGAAAAGAAGGGGCACTGGGGCCAGTGTCCAGGATGCCAGCCTACCAGCCAGAGCTGGCGAAGTGAGAAACCAAGGAATTTCATATTTGATTACACACCAGTGTAAGCACGATGGGCAGGTAAAGTCTTTTTCTGTTAAAAATTACTTTATTCTTGGCCCTCCCTGGTGGCGCAGCAGGTTAAAGCACAGCACTGAGAAGCTAAAGCCACTTCCACATGAGTTGACTCCCGCCTGCCCCGGAGGTGACCACATGGCGCGCAGACCTCTCCTGACCTGCCCGCTGCTCCCCTCAACAGTGTGCTTTCTCGATCTGCCTGTTCTGCTCCCCACTCTGTCTCTGGTGAACCCTCTCACCCTCCACATCTCTGGCCTGTACCCCAGTTCTGCACAAATAAATAAAGAAATAAATCTTTTAAAAAATTACTTTATTCTCTTTGCTAGAATTAGAGTTTCTTTCTTTTCGCTTCATTTATGTTTTGACTTTTATTTCCATTTCTTTCAGGCTGAATTTATCTTGGAGTCATCTATTTTTGTGTCTTCAGTTTCTCTGGGGCATCTTTTTCTACTCAAGCTTCTCTTCCAGAACCAGCTGCCCTTTGTGAGCCGGAATCACCTCAGGGCAGCAGGGAGTGCTCAGGTGGGCGCCTGCCCATCTCCACCTCTGAGCAAGGAAACCCGCAGCACTTCCTCAGAGTCCCGCCCTGCAGAGATCTGGCAGCCCTGGCGACCTGAGTGGTTTCACGAGTGTTCCTAAAATGAACAGTCTGAACCTCTTGGTTTTGCATGGCTTTGTAGGGATTCAAGGTCAAGTAAGGAGTGAACCATTGTTGGAGATCACCCCAGGCTGCTGATGGGAAGAGCAATATTTCATTTCAACCTTGAAAAGTTCTCATCTGTTTTGAGATGTGCTCTTAGCGTAAAATACACACTGGCTTTCAAAGACTTAGTAGGAAAAAATACCCCATGGATATTTTCACACTGATCGCATGTTTAAATAATATTTTTCATAAATTGGGCTAAATAAAATATAGTGTTTAAAATTAATTTCATCTGTTTC